TGTTTCAAAACGTTTCCTGCAGAAACATAAAGAGGCAATTGACAAATATATAGTTTGGATTAAGGATAGCGACAACTATATTGCCCCTGTCCTATCTCCTAGATCTAGATAAGACCTTCCTTATATAATGTGGTACTTTATGCAAGTATATAAAGCAGCTTTCTTGCTTTTGTACACCATATGCTGGTATTTCTACCAATAAGGTGAATAAACAATCCTTCAAATTGATTTTGAGTCATTGTTTAATAAATGACCATAACTTCCCAGGTCAAGTTATTGATGAGTGTGTGCGCGTGTTCATGTACGGCGTGTGTGTGCATTACGTCCATTCCCATATCAGGAACGATGTATTAACTTGAACTTAAATTTTAATGCAATGTCGCAATGCCATTTGTGTTTGAATTAAGATAAATCTGATAGGAAGTTTGACATAATTAAGTCTCCTTATATTCACATTTGCTTCAAAGGTGTTTTCTTATTATCTCCCTTTGTTAGCAGATGGTTATACTCTTTTACCAAGGCATTTAATTGTCATTATTTTTGTCAATCAAACAACATAAAATGTTAACTTTGAAGCTATTTTACAGTTAACAAGAACTATTCACGGCCGAGGTAAATCTGCCTTTTTTGCAAAAAAAAATATTAAAAATTGGATTTTGTATTCGTGAAGAACTGTTAGTAGTGCTTGTTTGATATATTAATAATGGCAGTTATAACTTGTGCAAATTCAAAGTTGTGATTGCAACGAGGTTATACAGATTTCTCTTTAGGGTTAGTCTTACAATCTGTACTTCGATTTGATCACGGTAGGTAATCACGTGACTTTTACGGTTACGCGTACAGACAATATGGCGGTCTAAAAACCTCGCTTCACATGACTGTGTTTTTCAGGTAGTTCTTTATTATATCCCTTTTACTTACATACGAGACATGTTGCAGCCTATGCGAAATAACGTATTGTGGCCGCCTATACCTTATTTTCCACCCCTGTGCTCATAGCTTTTAGAAACACTCAAAAATTCAACAGAAATTTTCAATGTGAACAATTATTTTTTGGGTAACATTCACGCAAAATTTGTATTTTTTATAAATTTGATTAAACTACGTCGAGTTAGCAAAGAGAAAATATTCATTTGAAAATGTAAATATTAGGCATGTCAAATGCTGACTGGTCATTTTCTATTCCAATACACGAGAGAAAAATGATTTGGGTAACAGACACGCGTACTTTTATTGTTGATAACCCCCACGCAATATTTTATGTGCAAGCAATACATGTATCTTTGCAGGTTATAGCCTAGATATTGACTGAAAAAAATCATGATTGATACATTTGGCCTAAAACGTTCATAGAATTTTGAATAATACTGAAAGCGCCTATGGATAGTAGAATACATACTCGCGTGAATATATTAAATGAAGATTCGATATAGATGAATTAATCGCAGAAATTGAAATACAAGTCTCAAATATAAGACGGAGGTCGATTTCAGTTTAAGCACAATTACAGTTGTCATTTTTCATAGTTTGCAGATATGGACGGTTCCAGCTCGGATATTGTTTGTGGATAATGTTGGAAAACATTTGTTTATAAAAATATAATTATTATGTTTACTTTCACGTCATTGTATTTTTCATGTCATTATATATGTATGCTTGTATATATGTTAATCACGAGAAACTTGTAGTTTAAGTGAAATAAAAGTTCTTCTTCTCCTTCTTCTTCTTCTTCTTCTTCTTCTTCTTCTTCTTAATGACCACATAAACTGGCTACTCGGCACAGGACCTTGTAAATGTTGTGGAAAATCAAAACGTCATGGCATTTTACTGTTTCTCGTAATATTAAGATTTTAAATACATTCAAATCTTTTTATCACTTAGTCTTTTATGTAACCAATTATTTTTTCAAAATAGTGTCTGTATTTAACTTTATTATGTTGGTTTTTTTATCTAAAGCAAAAAAGAATACAACCTAAAGAATATTAGAATGGGTCTTTTATTTTACAAACTAGGTAATAAAATCTAGAGGACTTATGTTTGAATGTCATCTTAATATCAACAGTAATACCCGTAACGTTTCCGATTTGCTTGGCTATAAAATGTTTCACCACAACATTTATAAGGTCCTGTGCCGTGTAGACTGTTTATGTGGTCAATAACTGAAACCTATCCGTGAATGAAATGTTTCCCACATTTATCACAAACAATATCCGAGATGGAACCTTCCATAATTGCAAAATATGAAAAATGACAACTGTAATTATACTAAAACAGAAATACAAAATCTCCTTCTAATATTTTAGACTTTTGTATTAAAACGCGACCTAATTGAATGATTTGGGTATGGTAGGCCTTACGCGAAGTTATTGATGTACTTGGTAATTTATGATTTTACAAGTCATCCTTATTAAAATTTATTTATCATATTATTGTAACTTATAAGCAGATGAAGTGTTGTTCGGCCCATATTATTTACGCCCCAAGACGATTTGTCAATCTAGCTGTATTTATATCTTAGTGATAGTAAAATTAAGTGTGAATTAGTTTGAAAAATACATTATATCAATTGCATTATCAAAACAAATATTTATTTAACTGTTTGAGATTAAATAACAATGTTGAGTGTTTTTTTTTTAAGTTTAATTGCCATGAATTTATAGGGAATAATAAATCTATTTTTATATTCTAGATCCTGGTCCTGGCTGAAATTTAGAGTATTGCAGCTGTAGCTTGTATACCATAAATTTAACATGGAAAGGACTGTCAGGTTTGTTGAATTGAAATTCTAATATATATATATATTTCCTTACAAAGTTTAAAAATTTCAACTACTGGATATTTATCTAGGCTTAATAATATATTATTTTTCAGAATACTTTTGTAACATTATCAACATAAAATTTACATATTTGTTGTTTACGGGATGCTGCATACAATGGTCTTAGCTAGAGCCTAGAATGAAAATATCTTGGGAAAATGCTGAAGTAACTGATGGGAAGCAGTTTTTCTTACCAATCGTAGGTCAGACTTAAATAGCTTCTTTTTATAAAGTTGTTGTTGTTTTATGTACATAATTTGATGTCAATATGAAACTTCAGCTGTATCTTAATGTCTATGCTGTTTTATTATGTAAATCTTACAGATAAGCATTTTAAGATAAAACAAATTGTTAATTAATTCAAGTCAATTTTAACTAGTAACTTCTTATTTTATTTGCAGAAGCAGTAGAAGTATTCAAACACCATCATGGAACACTTAAGACATACCCAGAGAGATCTAGAAGAAGTACTAGTAGTAGATTGGAACAGATTGTAGCTCAATTGTTAAACTAAAAGAACTTCTTAAATCGTTTGAATTTAAGGTACACTTGAACTGTATTTTTAAAATAAAATAGCTGAAGTATTTAATAGTGTCTTGATTTTTTGTTAAACTCTGTTACAGTACTTTGCTTTATATTAAAATTAAAGTATGTTGAAATGACATTGAAACTTCAACGTTGTGCCAACGTTGAATTTCAAAGTTTTTTGAACTTTCAAATTCGAACATTAATCCAATGTTATTTCAACGTTAAAATCTGACCATAATTCAACGTTGTTCAACGTTGATGTGCATGCTGGGTTATTTCTATCAAGGACTATTGGCGGTATTTTTAATATTATTCAAAATTCTATGAAAGTTTGAGGCTAAATGCATCAATCATGATTTTGTTCAATCATCTAAAAGGGAAATTTTTGCGATTTTAAATTTATCTTTTTCGGGCACTTAATTCATTTAATATTTTCCGTGAAATTGTATTCTGCTATCCCTAAAGGGGCCCTTTAAATTTTAAACCGGGGCCTTTTGGGGGTATTTTCAAAAATTATTCAAAATTCTATGAACGTTTAAAAGGGATTTAATTTATATTTTTTTCAAAACAATATCTTTGGCTATAACCTTTCATTTGGAAATTTTCTTGCCCCATTAAAAAATTGCGTTGGGCATTCAACAAAAAAAGTATGCGTTCTTTTTACCCCAAATTTATTTTTTCTTCTGTATTGGAATTTGAAAATGGAAACCCTCAGCATTTAACATGCCTAATATTTACATTTTCAAATAAAGAAATTCTATGGACATTTTCTCTTTGCTAACTCGACGTAGTTTAATCAAATTTATAAAAAAAATACAAATTTTGCGTGAATGTTACCCGAAAAATATTTGTCCACAATGAAAATTTCTGTTGAATTTTTGAGTGTTTGTAAAAGCTATGAGCACAGGGGTGGAAAATAATGTATAGGCGGCCACAATTCTTTATTCCACAGGTTGCAACAGGTCTCGTATGTAAGTGAAAGGGATATAATAAAGAATTACCTGAAAAACATATGTGAAGCGAGCTTTTTAGGCCGCCATATTGTCTGTACCCGTAACCGTAAAAGTCACATGATTCCCTACCGTGTTGATGTATTGTATTCTTTTATGTATGGGAAATATATCCCCTCCGCGCCTTGAAACCGATTTGTCGACCCAGAACAAAATCTTCCCTAGGATCTAGCTTTAAATTTTGAAATAGTTTACTGTCAGTAATTTCTGAATTTCGCTAGTCAATTGCCCTTTGATCAAAGTTTACATGAGTCAAATAATTGACTCAAAGGCCATTTGATATTGTTATGATATAATGTAACGTCGAGAAATAAATTTAATATAAATAATTTGAACATAAAACGCTAGCACGCTAGAAATTTAAATAAAATTTCATAAATATTCTGTCTTACGCAATATCTTTAAAAACAAAGTTTAAAAGTACATATTTTATTAATAATATCGTTAAACAGAAAACATAAGTAGAAAGCCAGTAAATATCATTTCAGAATTGTGTTACTGTAATTTTAACATAGTGTTTCAGTTTACGCCTGAAGAGTGAGTTATTAGCTTGAGACTTATATTTTTATATTGACAAGTTTGTAAGCTATATGATGTATTGAATATCATGGTATCGATTAAGCACATGTGCGCTATAGAATGGTTTCATATTACATCTGCAAAATGGTATATTTCGTAGCGAAGTAAACAAATGAGTCATTTTGATTTTGAATTGGGGGCTGAGATATGGAATTGATTACAGGTAGGAAACACCTTCATAATGAATATTGTATATCTCTTTCTTTTTATAATCTGTACAGATATCATGTTAACATCTTGCATCGAATGGAATTGATATGTTAGTAAACATCATTTAAAGTAATAAACTAAAAAAATCTCTTAAAGATCATGTGTGTTGTGATCCAAGTGGTAAACCACACTAAGTGAAAGTACATAATTATGCAAATAAAACAATTTTCAAAATCGAAGAATATGTAAAGTATGTACTGCAATTTGTGTGCATATTATATGAAACGATTAAAATATAATTGTGAAATTTAACTTAAACTTTATAGAAAATAATTTTTCTATTACCTCTCTTTATTTTCATGAAATGTTAGATTCGGAAATATATTTATAAATAATGTTTTTTGGAACCTACAATGTTGATAAATCTTAATTTGAGCATAATATTTATGATTTTTAACCATAAAAAATGTGTTGTAGGATCTTTAAGAAATGTACCGTAGATTTGCATAATTAATAATATTTTCATAATAACGTTTTTAACTATATTATAATTATGATATTATCAAAATAACAAAAATGTAATTATATTTCAAAGAAGTTATGAACTATATCATACATGTAGCATTATAAATATAATATAAGATAAAAAAAAGTCATTTGAACAGAGACAAAAATTGAAAAAAAAGCATCTGTGTTGTAAGTAATGAATGTTTAATTAAACCAAAACTAAATTGTTACATTCTTTTGATTAATTTTTGCACAAAGAGTATATAAAAATACAAATAATAGACAATTTATTTGCTAGTAAGATTTAAAGTTATACAAAACCCTTTGACTTACGATGGGTATATATTAAAAAAGAATGCACACAAAAATGTTTAGGTATTATTTTCCGTAAAAGACCTGTGTCATATGTTGTCATAATTTGTCAGTTGCTACCATAGGAATAGTTTTGATACCAAACCATAACGAAGGACCGGTATTTTATAATACTGGACAACAATCTGAGAAACTGTGATTTTTACAGCTGTTGATATGACTCAAAACACGTATTAAGTTAATACACGTATTAACTGTATAACTTTTTTAATGTATGGTCCTCTCCCGTGTTGAAGGAAAGGCTAACATTTGAAAAGACAAGTATCTATAGAACAAATATAAATTTAATAATTTGTGAAACAATTTTCAGATAGATTTTTGATATTCAAATTATAGACATATGCTATCACATCATCTTTTTGTAATTGTCATACAGTTTTGATTCAAAAGGTATTTTGTTCATGTGCGTTGAACATTGTAATAACTATTTTGATTAGATAAACATATATTATTACGTGCATGTGCATAGAGGAGGTAATTGTATCAAGGTATTTATTTATACAAGATTTTCAAATTGATTAAATTCTTTTGTATGTTAATACCCATACTGTACAAAGGCGACCTTCTTGTCAAATGCATTGTGTAATTTTAAATCAGTCTAGTGCAAAAACAATCAAGTATATCAAATCAACCCTACTATTTATAAATATTAGTACAAATAATGTATCTTTCATTGCAAAACCTATAATTATGCTTTTAAAAATTATATTTTCTTTTAAGGAAAAAAGCATTGAACAAAATATAGATAGTAAGAACTATGACTTTCTTTGAAGTTACTTATTTATTTATGTCTTCAAAATGATGTTTTAATATCAATGAATGATCTCAATATGCAACTAAAGCTTCATTATTCAGTTCAATGCCGCTTTGCTGTGCGAAATATAAGATAACATGGGGTAAATGTAATTCGACTTTAGATCGGGTTTTGTTTGCAAAATTAAATGGAAAACTTATTATAATAAGATGATAAAACTTAGAAATGTTCCCGTTTTAAACAAATACTTTTGTTTTGTCATAGTAGCATCCAAGAAATTCGTGCCTAAAATAGGGTGAATTAGCATCTCTTGTAAACAGCATGAAACTTGGCATAGTTAAAACTGGTTAAAACAATCCTTTTGATTTAAGCCATAATGGCCGCCAAAATCCAAGATGACCGCCATATTAGAATTTTCAGATTATTTTAGTTTTTCAACTGTAATCATTGTCATGATTAGTATAAAATAGAAAAAAAATACATTATAATACATGCTTGTTTAACATATCAGCATGAGGATAATCTATCAAAAATATCAACATGGATGGCAAAGTTAATATAGCCGCATAACCTTATGTAATTATGAAACTGCTTTAAAACATCCGTTTCATTTTTTATACAGAAACATGCTCATAAATACACTGTCTCAGATTTATTTTTTACAATTATTTTTACTTGGTTTTAAAACACAATAAAAGAAACAAAAGAACACTTCAAGCAAAAAAGGTGGGTTTAATCATCTAATAATTTTATTACCTGTCCTTGGATAAGAATCTTAATGCTAGTTTAGGTACTTTCCAGAATCAAACTAATTAACCAGTGCCTTATTCCAATGATTTTATATGTAGCTGACCTCCTATTAGGTAATTCTGCAAAAGTCAAAGGAATGGTATAGAACCTCTTGCATATTCTTCATGTTGAACAAATGACGAGCTATTAAATCTCATATCAAAATTATCAAATATGAAGCGCTGTAGAGTCTTAACATAATCACATATTAAGTCATGAATGACTAATGCGAACAATACCAAACTTTTTTATTACCAAAAATGCCAAAATATTCTTTTTGTTCAATATGTTAAATTAAATTAAATTAAAGCCTTAATCTTACGGGCTCAGTAATTAAATTTCTGCAGATGTTGATGCACACCAACGTGTATTACAGTCATTCTTGTATAAAAGTATACGTATACAATAAGTTGTTTTCCGTATTAAGAAACCGGTTTCGTATTGTTTTCAATTGCTTAGGTGCTATGTTTTGATTTTAAGGTACCTTAGGCCGTCATTACTATCAGCGGTATTGCATGTTTTCCGTATTAAGAAACCGGTTTCGTATTGTTTTTAAATCGCTTAGGTGCTATGTTTTGATTTTAAGGTACCTTAGGCCGTCATTACTATCAGCGGTATTGCATGGTGTCAAAATCACGCACAATAACATGAGCTATCGGTAAGAAATCATAGAGTGGTCGACTGTTCTCAGTGCTTGAAAGCTAAACAAGAACCTAGATAATAAATAATTCTTTATATTTAAAAGGGCCATAATTCTGTCAAAATCAATAATAGAGTTATTGGCCTTTAAAAGTGACTTAATATTATGCTTAAAATTAGGTTTAAAACTATTCCTTTACGTATTTTTTACAAAACCAACTTGCATGCAAAACCTCAGCAAAACTGTTAAGCTGACGACTTTTGTGTACAATATTACTCCATATTCTTCTAAATACCAAGCTGAATAATGTGCTCGCATGGGTTTTTCCACTAAAGTCTTTTCTCTGTAAATGTACATCTGTGTGTGTGTATTTTTAAGCAGGAACGTCAGTTTTTTAGTGTGTTATATACATGTATGAAGAGTGTTGATCAAATAAATTATCTTAATCATAGAAAATCATCATGTAATAACGACCATCTTGGATTTTTGAAGCCATATTGGATTTTCTACCGATTCTACTAAAGCATTTTTCCAAATATTTACTATTATTGACCTATAATGTCATTTTCCTGATACCATGTCAAGTTTTATGTTTTTCACAGAAGGTGCACAATTATTTTTCTGATTTCTTGGACTATAATTATGCACTGATTGTATGTTGATGGCTGATCAAGTCAAGAAGAGAGTACAGTTCCTAAAAGTATTCTAACTTTTTCATTTTCAAATGTGGACTGGTTAAATTTTAAGACAATAAAGAAACGCAGTACTTTATATAATTTATTTTTCTGTTGCCTGCCATGACATGACAAACACGCAAATTCGATGAATTTATATCCCCAGCGAGTACTGGTTATTACTTACACAACAAAAGAAGACATAATGCTTTATTTATATATTTATTATGGCATAAACAGTAATATTCTTTGTACATAATAAATATTCAGGGCAATAACAGAACCTAAATTAACTCTGTGTTAAATATTAATATCTGGACATGGCAATGAGATGTAAATTGCCTTTTTGTATCTATGGTACCCATCAAGATTTGTTGAAATCAATACAGCAGTTGTAAAGAAATAACAATATTGCTCTATATGCATACTACATAACTGATCAAGGGCCATAACTCTGTAATGAACGGTCTGATCTGAACAAGCAACACACTATGCACATCCCATCTTGGTATTTATGGTTCCCATAAAGTTTAATTGAATTCAAGGCAGTAGTTGCAGAGAAGTAACTTGGAAACAATTATTGCTCTATATGCATACTGCATAACTAGTCAAGGAACATAATTCTGAGTTACTGTCTGACCGGAACGAGGCGATGATATGCGCATCTCTTCTTGGTATTGAAGATTCCCATAAAGTTTCGTTGAATTCCAGCCAGTAGTTGCTGAGAAGTAGCACGGAAACGATTATTGCGCTATAGCATAACATATCAGGGGCCATAACTCTGAGTTTAAAGTGTCTGACCGGAACAAGGCGACGATATGCGCATCTTCTCTTGGTATTGAAAGTTCCAATAAAGTTTCGTTGAAGTCCAGCCAGTAGTTGCAGAGAAGTAGCACGGAAATGATTATTGTTCTATATGCATACTGTATAACTAATCAAGGACCATAACTCTGAGTTTAGGTGTCTGAACGGAACAAGGCAACGACATGCGCATCTCCTCTTAGTATTAAAGGTACCCATTAAGTTTCGTTTAATTCCATCCAGTAGTTGCAGAGAAGTAGCGCGGAAACGATTTTTGCTCTATATGCCAAATGCATAACTAATCAAGGGACATAACTCTAGGTTAAAAGGTCTGACTGGAACAAGCCGACGATATGCGCAGCTCCTCTTGATATTGATGATTCCTATAAAGTTTCATTGAATTCCAGCCAGTAGTTGCAGAGAACTCGCACAGAAACGAAATTCGGACGGACGGATGGACAACGCCAAAACAATACCCCCCTCCCGATTCCATCGACGGGGGTCAAAAAAACATGTTCCCTTATTACTCGTTGTTAATTTTTAGCTAATTAATACTTTAATTAGTACAAGACACCTTATTTATCACATTTCATCAATTATTTTTTCTTACACATCTCTTTCAAATATAATATCATGCGTCAAAATAAGAATAAGACAATAACACAATTATTCTTATGTTTTCAGGAATATGATACGAATTTGATTGTTTCAAACATGTCAGTTTGGTATGAAATGGATGACAAACAAAAAACAGAGAGAAAGAAAAAACTGTATGACATTCTAAACCATCTTGGTTATTCAAAGGTATGTTGTAATCAAAGAATAAAAATATATGATAATGCCAGTAGGTGCTTGGAGCGCGTTTCAAATAGAAATTGGTTCGTACCCGTTAATGTCACCGTGCTTGGAAGCCGTGGTGAGGGTATGGCTGTTGCTTTAGGAAGTGATATGGATGTATTAATGCTTCAGCCAGCAGTAAAATGTTTTGAAACGTTATCTTTGACGTATAAAGAGGAAAATGATAGAGACGTGGCCATTTTCGAACTAAACTTTTCGGATGTACCTGAAGGTTATGCAAAATTACATCTTAAAACCCTGAAAGATGCATCACCATACCCATATAGTAGATTAGTTACACGCATTAAAGGAGCATTAACAAGTGATGGTTTTTTGCAAAATAACCAACGAATCATCGAATCAATAGAAAACGGCGGCCAAACTGTGAGACTGGAAGGATGGCCAACTACACATAATATGTACGGACATATCAATGGCCCGGCACAACCGCTTCAATACCCTTTACCTTGCCCAGAAAAATATCAACAATATCTCTCCATAGATTACGTAGCAGCTTTTCCATGTGTATATCCGTCGTTATTGAACGACTGGTTCGAAAGGGTTCGGGGTAAGTCCTGGCCCAGTTTAGAAACGTCGATTAAAGTGAAGCATTCAGACCTATTTGTTGTACCTGTTGGATTAGCTGAAAGTGATGAGGAGGTTTTGCAATGGAGGATATCGTTTACACTGGCTGAAATATTATTGGTAAGGTCCTTTCACGATGCACAGATTAAAGCGTACGCTCTAATGAAAATGATTTTGAAACATGAACTGAAGCCTATTTGTATGAATATTACTTCATACCAAATTAAGAATGTTCTCTTCTGGACATCTGAAAAGAGGCAAAATATCCAGAAAATTGATTTCTATGAACTTTTGTTGGAAGTGATTACTTTTTTGAAAGATTGTATTGAAGCTAGGCAACTTCAGCATTACTTTATACCTTCACGAAATTTGATGCATGTGAATATTTCCGAAGAGGAACGTAGCCGTTTGATTGCATTCCTCACTAAGATTTCCTGGGACCCTTCATATGCTCTACAGCGTTGTCCGTTGATATGCAATATGTGCACTTTACCGACAGATGAAGGATTGGTTTTCAGAAATATGGTGGACGAACTCATGGCAGCATTTTTTGCAGTTGCACCTGAACAATTTGATGAAATCGAGCATTTACTTCAGGGAGCACAATCATCTAAGGAATATTTTGATTTTTTTATGAAACGTGTGCCAGCTATTGTGAGGAAAAACAATCCGTATGGATACTTTCATTTGATTTTATCAAAAAGAGATGATGACATTGACGAAATTCTGAATGAAGGTTGCAAAAAAGGGTACCAAGAACTATGGATTAAATAATATACATGTATTTCAATTACACATTGAAACACTGAAGGTTTATAAGTTTAATTTGAGTAGACTTGAATAGAGATGTTATTTTTCCGATTTTTAAAGATCGTTCAGCACGACATGATTGCTGTGATTTTGGATTTTAGTTTTGGGGGTTCCAAAATTCCCACTTTATAATGTGAATCACCCCTTGTGTGGGCTCTGTTTTTTTTGGGACGTCTTATCTGTGATTGCCGTTATATTCAAATTTTCCTTTTTGTTAGTTCCCCCCATTGTTTTCCTTTTGGGGGCCCCGCTTTTTTTCTTGGGGACCATCGCCGCTTTCAGGAAAACACTTCTGTGTCACCCTAACAGGTTTATTAACCCCCTTGACACATTTCTAATTCAATTATTCCAAAATTTTATGTTTTTTGAATTCACTTAAGCTGGGGCTAGGGGGCGTAGACGGGGTTTTTTTTTGGCAGTACCGCCAGCCCGACCAATCAACCGGGTCTGCAAAATTTTTTAAATTTGACGTGGCTTTCTTTGGGACTTTTTTCCTATTTTATTGAATGTTATATCGACATTCATTTACATATAATTTCTACATCATATCAACCATATTAACAATATCTTTATTCAAACTTGTCCAAGAAAAAATGATGGTAGAAGGTATTTGTTGAAAAAATAGTTGCTTAAGTCTATATAGCTTTTTTTAAACTTCCGATTTAAATTTATGCTTTTTAAATTTGTCTTTTGACGTTATATCTGTTCATAACCTCAGATCCCCTTTCAAAATTCCATTTTATTTAGTTCCGCCCATTGTTTTCTCGTTTAGGGCACACGCATTTTTTGTTTTTTTTTGGGGGGGGGGGACCATATGCCGCTTTTCATGGAATGGCACTAACGTGTCACATTGAAGGTTCCATGATAACCGCCATATGAACACATATGCGGATGTTTCAAAATTCTAAATTTTACCAGTTCATGTTTAATGTTGAATTCTGCTTAAGCCGGTGCACTTTTGCACTTTACAGTACCGTCCATGAACAGGCTCAATCAAACCGAAAGCCTGAACATTTTCAATTTTTGCCGCGTTGGGCTTTCTTTAGGGATTCTTTTTTTACTCTATTTTTACACGACGTAAAACGTTATTCCAATCCAAAATTTAAAATTGGATCACACTGTCATCGAATGGCATGCCTCTTTGGTCATTTACCTGTAGAAGAGTGCAAACACTCTTTTTGGCAACGCTTCCTACAGCATTTTGTCAGAAACCTGAAGCATATTAAAAATTGAACCTTAACGAACTGTTACCCTCTTAGGAAGGGTATGAAACTATAACTGTTTGAATAGTTTTCAATGCTATCTTTGGACAATGAATAAACCATTGAAGTTTATTCCTGATTGGGGTTATAAAGAAAGCGTTAATCAAATTGAAACAAGAATCAACAAGGAAAGGCGGCGCTCAATGAACGCAACCACATGACCAGCAACAAGAACCAGTCGCAAGGAGCCCAGGCAGATCCCAAACAAAACACAGGACAGGGCACTAGGCAGAGCACGGACAGGCTTATCACTAAACTGATAAATAATATGTAACTGATAAGAAATTCTAAGAAAACAAATAAATGATTGAATATTAGGAAATAATTGGTAACTGACAAGGAATTCAAAGAAAACAAATAGACTGGACAATAGGCTCACAAAGGCATAGGGGAAGGGGACAGGAGACCCGGGGAAGGGGGGTAAATTAAAGAAATAAGAACAAGGGCAAAGGGGAAGATACTTACCGTAGATGAAAAAACAACAAGGAACACAAGCAAATGTGTCACCAAAACAGTATGAAACAACAAAAACATACATATAAGAACATACAGGGGCGCCGCCTTGGAACGGTCAGTAGCATAATTATGACTGCTGGGGAGTTTTAACCGGTTAATGGTGCACCAGACCTCGCTCTTAGCCCCACCATGTTGCTATAAACGAGACAGTGTAAATTAAAAAATGAATCCCCGCCAAGTAAAATTCTAACAGTTGTTATGGTTACAAAATGTTAAATAAGTAAAACACCAAAATGATCATGTAGAAATATATTAAAAGTAAACCCAATGACAATAACAAAAGTACTCAATGTCCTAAAGGAAGACAGAGCAACAAGAAAATCACCTACAAGGGCCCGACGAAGCAAAGCAGAAGACGAACATTAAGATAATTCAATCCAAAAGGGCTTTAAGAACTGTCCATCATAGAGTCTCCCACTTGGTCCGTCAGATGTTATCAAAAGAGGAAAGCGTAGTGTCCAACTGTAAAAGGTTTGAACACTCAGCATGCAGTATGTCTTAAAATAGTAGGGTCATAACCTCTTTTAATAAAAAGTTTAATGATTTTAGTAGAGACAGCAGAAAAAATACCATGACCCAAAATCTTACGAAGTTTGTAAATCACATCGCCATAAAAACCAGACTGGCTAATCCCTTGAATCAATATTGAATTTTGAAATTAAATCAAAATTACGATTGTAAAATTTTGTAAAATATTTCCGTAATTTATGATAGCGGTAGCCCTGTTTTAGAAGCTTGCTTGTAATAAAAATATTCCGCTCGTTGAAATCCTGTACGTTGCTAAAAGCTCTAGCGAATCTAATTAACTGAGAAACATATACCCTGTAAGATGTTGCATGGGGTACGTCTCCATCTTAATGTGGATTATTTAACTATACAAAAGTCAAAGTCATCTCTTTTATCATAGATTTTCGTGTGAATAGAATTGTTGTTGATAGTAATATGAAGATCCAAAAATGATGTACTAAAATTTCAACAGTTCGTTTTATTAAGTTTTATTAATGTTATAAATATCATGACATATATGATATTCTTATTTTCTACATAATAACATCTATAAATATTTCAGTAATCGTTTCAATTTGATATGAAAAATTCCCAGAAATATATAGAAGAAACAAAATCAAGCAATATCCAATATATAGCCCAGCAGTGCAACAATTATACCCGGACAATTCCTTCAGAATGAACATTTTTCAAAATTGATTTTTTAGTTAAGGTGTGAACGTCCTAATGCACCCCTCCACTTTGAAGAAAATTTAAATATGCTACAAATACTGATAACTGAGTTGAAACTAAAGGTCGTGGGTTCAATCCCCAGTAAGGTCATCTCTTTTAACCGTCTTTGTGTATCATTCAGATCATTTTTTGAAAGAAAAAGTGTTTGTTTTTAATTATACAGATATTATAGTTATGTATTGGCTAAATTTTGTTTGCTAGATTCATGTTTAAATTTAGTACCTGATTGTTTTAAAGTCTAATAAGATTAAAACTACACGGTAAAATAATTTAAAAGATCAACAAGTATACTGCTGAAAAAAAGACAACTTTGGGAAAAAACCCACAATTGGATTATTTTAGGCTTATTTTAAATAACGTTTTCCAAGCAGGAAAAATGATAAAAAAACTGTTAATTGTATTGCGTGGGGTACAGTAACAGTTTTATACATATCTCCAACATTTTTGAAAGACATGATTATTTTACTTCTGATCAGTCATTTCTCGCTGGATTTTATAACTTGTTATAATTTGTTTCATAAGTAAAACCTTTTTCTTAAGGATAAATTATAGATTAACTAGAGTTATTATTTTATTAAATTCCCTAAAAAGAGTTCTTCTAATATCACAGTTGTTATTCAGAAAATTGTACATAACTCATATAGTAAATTTTGTTAACATTTTACTGACCTATGTTCTCCATTTCCATTTTAGTTTCTTATCGTGCCAATTAGGGTGGTCATACCCTAATATTCAGGGTACACGTATAATCATTATCAATTATCCCTTTTTAAGTAAGTAGCATTCATTAACAATATGTCGCTGTGCATGAATTATCATCATGAGATCACATTCTCTAACGCGCGTTTATGTAACACACTACTAGATCAAACTTTCATTAAGGTTTAAAGTCCCCAGAAATACCGGAAAACAAGACTACACTATGAAATGTTGTGGGGTCGGATCTCTATGAAAATACTATGCACACGTGTAAGTCGTTCTAAAATATATTTCTCTTTGGTTTCCGTTTAAAGTGACATAATGTCCATCAAACGTGAAAGTAAAAATAAGTTTAAATTTTGCAATAATTCCATTAAATTTCATAATTTACTTCGCATGAACTATATGTAACTAACATGGCCAAAGAAAATCTCTGTGAATATCCATACCTTTATTTGTCTATTTATGAAAAAAGGTGGGGCACTCTATTCCTTATTTAAGGCAAAATATATTTCATTCTTAATATTTTCAAATACTCAACAATCGTTCATTAACTATCGTAACACAGTCATTCTTTTGTAATATATAGTAAATTTAGCTAAACTTGACAATGGAAAAGACATTTGTAAAGGAATGGATGTATAATTCATTTGGGGATATATTTTGTGCCAGTGATTCATATTCATTCTATAAAATTGATAACTTGTTATGAAGAGGACGTCTATACGGTGGCACAAAGGTAACATGTGTGTGTTTTTATTTATCTCGTGGCCAGGAGAAACTATGTCGTGGCCATGAGTTACTAAGTCGTGGCCACAAGATAGCTAAGTCGTGGCCACGAGATACTATGTCGTGGCCACGGGTTACTTAGTCGTGGCCACGAGATAGCTCAGTCGTGGCCACGAGATACTAAGTCGTGGCCACGAGATACTATATCGTGGCCACGAGATAGCTAAGTCGTGGCCCCGATATCCTATGTCGTGGCCATGAGTTACTAAGTCGTGGCCAAGAGTTACTAAGTCGTGGCGACGAGATAGCTAAGTCGTGGCCACGAGATACAATGCCGTGGCCACGAGTTTCTTAGTCGTGGCCACGAGATAGCTAAGTCGTGGCCACGAGTTACTAAGTCGTGGCCACGAGATAGCTAAGTCGTGGCCACGAGATAAATAACCAATCAGATCACACCATTTATTTGAATTTCCCTAATGAACTCGACATGTGCTATAGTACAATGATGCCCCTACTTCACCAGCCTGTAAACGTGTCATTTATAAAACTTACTAAGTCGTGGCCACGAGATACTATATCGTGGCCACGAGATAGCTAAGTCGTGGCCCCGAGATCCTATG